GACATATACGATAACACATTGTATAGTGAGATAACGCACCTGGACATGAAGCTGAAGAATCAAAACTACACGCTTGAATACGCAAGAGCCAACCTCACGAATCACCTAGATAATACACATAAGTGAAGCCTCGGCCCATGGCCTAAACTCACCAAGTTTGACTAAAAGTGAAAATTGTTCAAAAAGTCAACGGCCAACGGCCGTGCGTCGCAACCCATACTTTGGTCGCATTGCGAAGACTACATGAAAAAATAGTCGTGGATGGTCAGTCGAGACACCTTTAATGTTGTGTTACAGATACGGGATTAATGCAGAAAAATCAGATTATTTTGGGAAAATTTTTAATAAAGTCTTAAAAGTTTTTTTTTGAAGAGAAAAGTCCCGATTATTTAACATTTTACCCAAATTAATGAAAAAGACATTTTTTATATTTGAACAACAAATGATAGATTATGTAATTTTCTCAAAATAATGAGACTTCTCTGTTCAAAAAAAACTTTTAGGACTTTATAAAAGAATTTCTTAAAATAATGTGACTTTTCCGCATAAAACCCTTGCAAATACTGGCAAAACAACCAAATTTATCCAAGTCTTAATCCCTTTAAGACCGAAGCTGAAAACATCAGATATGGTCCTTCTAAAGGTCTTAAGGGATAAAGTTTCCTACTTTATCTCTACCCAAGGCTTTATCCATCACAATCACTAGCCTAAGTCAAAATAAGCCTCTAACTAGCAAAAATCTTGTGTATGGTGCCAGGGAAGCCCATGCACATAACTTTTCCATAACAAGATGTCCAGAAGATCATTCTATTTCATCCAAAGGTTATTGAGTTGCCCAAACCCTATGTATATCAAGTCTTTATGTATAAAAGCGTCAAAATCCATGCTAAAGCCTAGATCTGATCATGAAAACACATAAATCAATGATCTTTATGCTCACAAAAAGTGAAGAAGTAAGATGGATCTACACTTGGGAGGACTCACTTGCACCAATAACTTGATCACCCTTTTCAAAACACACTTTCACAAAACAAAACTCAAAAGCACTTGCAATGAGGGTGCTAGGGTTTCACAATGGCATTTTTAGAGGTGAAGGATGGAGAATGAAATGAAACCATAAAAGTTAGCACCATTAAATAGGGCTCAAAGCCCGAGGCCTAGGGTTTTGGGACTTTGCGGCTTCATGTCGTGACCAACACATAGTCATGTCGCTATTTAAATGACATGGCTCGCGTCGCCACATAAAGATGTCGCAACACGATCTGTCCTAAATCCTAAATCTCAATCCTAGAGAAATCAATACTAAGACTACTCATACCTGGAAAACAGATGTTACAAACTATCTTCATCCCCATCAGAAAACCTCCTTAGATTTCAAGCTTCTTCAAATTTCAGATCTTTGGCATTATTCAATCATCATATTTCAAGCATCTCGAATTTTCAATGTGTTAGTCTATGTGTGTTTTTATAGTGCGTTTTCAGGTTGTGGATTTGTTGGATTTATATTAAAAAATAAACCTATAATCATCAATGATTTTTGGGTTCAATTTTCATATTTTTTGTGCATTTTTGGTTCAACAAGTTTTTGTGAGCTTATTTTGGGTTTAATTTGTAGATTTAAACTCTAATTCATCATTTTATAAGGTTCAATCGTTTTTATATGTGGAACATATCTCGAGTAGATTTTGGTAATGAGGTTTTCTTGAGGATTTTTCGATGTCTCAATGTGTGTTTTCTGCGTAATCTTGACGGTCATAACGGGTGATCGTGGTGGTCATGGTTGGTGGGGTTCACTAATACATGAAAGGAGACAAGAGGGGTTAAAAGGGTATGTGGGGTGGGTGGATAATGTCTTAATAATAGCATACTATCTATATTTAACTTAGTAAGGGGCCAAACTTGAAAAAAAAAAAAACAAAGCGTCAGAGTGAAAAAAAATGGAAGTTAAAGACCAACCATATAAACTATCATAAACCACATGGACTATTTGTGTACTTTAGTATATGGTTGTGTTTGGCAAGCGATAAGCTAGTTTATTTTTCGAGTTTTTTTTTTAAGTTGTCATGTTTGACAAGCCAAAAGGTAACTTAAAGCTAGCTTTTTAGATGTTTTTTTAATTTTTTTTTTCCAAATATATCATTTATTTAATTATAGAAACTCATTTTTTTTAATGTTCTTTTATGTCATTTTATATTTTCTAGCTAGCTTTTCGGCCAATTTTAACTAACGATATTTTTAATCAGCTAGTTTTTCAGTTGTCAGCTAACGTTTTATTTAACGACTAACTTTTCAGATATCAACTAACTTTTCAACCGATAGCTATCTATTCAACTGATACGCAAAACATAACTTTTATCTACCGAAAGTCTGCAAAATAGTACATGACTACGAAAAAGCTCCCTCACAAATAAATAGGTCGAAATTATCATATTTAGTCCTTTCATATTCATTTGTATAATATATTACGCAAACATCATTCAACCCTTTACTAGTTTGGTACTAAGTCGTTTTCCATTCCACTTCAATATTTCTTTTTCTTTTTCTTTTTTCTTTTTTACTTTGATGTAAAAAAATATCTAAACTCATTTTATTTTTTGCATTGTTTTTATTTAGATGTAAATGATGTTAGTGTACGAAGTTGAGACAAATGATCAATACACCACCAAACGGTACCGCATATTGGTTTAGCATAGGGATGAGATTTAGAACCGGAAAACCAGACCGAAATCGGAATCGAACCGCAACCGGAACCGTTAGAACCGGAACATGTAAAACCAGTCCGGGTCCCGAGTTTAAAGAATAGCTCTATCTGGGTTCCGGGTAATCCGGGTTTCGGGTTCTTCAGATCCGGGTAAACCGGGTTTAAGAACCAGGACCGTGTTAGGAAACGGAACCAGTTTTAGGGGCTGAAACCGGTTTTTGTGAAAAGTTTAAAACATGCATATCTCATTTGTTTGAAGTCAAATTCGCATGAAGTTTTTTCCAGAGTGTAGCTTATAACTTGTACATGATTTTAGACTATAATTTTGTCATTTTTGAGTTTATATTCATTGACTTACAGTCTCTTAAAGCCGGGATATCAAAGCTGAAAATTTTATGTTTTCAGTTTTTTTTGTATTCTGTGATAGTTTTTAAAACATGCATATCTAATTCGTTTTAAGTCGGAATAGCATGCGATTTTTTCCAAAGTGTATTATAGAGTTTGTAAATGATTTTAGACTTTAATTTTGTCATTTTTGGTTTCATATTCATTAATTTATAGTCTCCCAAAGTCGGGATATCAAAGCTGTGGATTTTCAGTTTTTCAGTTTTATTTTTGTATTTTTGTGAAATTTTAAAACATGCATATCTAATTCGTTTGAAGTCGAATTATCATGAGGTTTTTTTGCAAATTGTAGTTTAGAGTTTTTACACGATTTTAGACTATAAGTTTGTCATTTTTGGTTTAGCGTTCAATGACATACAGTCCCCCAAAGTTAGGATATTAAAGTTGAAAATTTTCAATGTTCAACCACTAAGTAATTACCAAACAATTCCGGTTTTTCTGGGTTTTCCGGTTCTAGACCCACTTTATTCGGTTCCATCCGACCACTTTGATGATTCCGGGTTTTTCGGTTCTAGACCCACTTTACCCGGTACCTTATCCGGAACCGAACCGAAACCGTTTCTTATATACCGGTCTGGTTTTCGGTCCTACAAAATCTCGTTAACCGGTTCCCGGGTTTTTCGGGTCCGGGTTTGGATCCGCTCTCATCCATAGTTTAGCAACATGGATACTTGCTGTTTCCTTTCTCTTTCTCTCATCTCCACTTATACCATATGCATCAAAGTTTATATCAAAATGTGTGAGTTAAATGGATAAAATTTTCATATGGTGTGGATTGTAAGCGTTGTTGAAAATGAGAGGAGAGGAAAGGTTAATATGGGTAGGGGTGTTCAAAAATATTCGTATTCAAAAATCCGATTCGAAATTAACCAAATTTTCAGATACCTTAATTTTCGGATATCCAAAATTCGGATATCCGACTTTTCGGATTCGGATAAGGATCATAGTTTTTGAAAGTTTCGGATATTTCTAATATGGAGTATTTGAAACTTTTTATGTTTGAAGATATTGTTGCATTCAACATAGGAGTGAACACAAAGTTTGGAGCTTTGGATTTCGTAGATGTACACATGCCGCATGTAGTTTATCATTTCATTTTTATACATATTAATATGTTTTCTTTCTATATTAATATGCACAATTCCACTTTCAACGATCATAATTTGTATACGTCTAGCTGTTTCTCATTTCATTTCTATATTTATTATGTTTTAATATAGTTGCTTTACTTTGAATTGATTATATAAATGTGTTATTTGGTTTTATGTTTAGGTGGTTGTGACAAGCAAAATGATTGAATTTTGGATATCCGGTTTGATATCGGAATCCGTATCCAAATTTTTGGATATCCGAAATTTGAATATCTGAAATTTTGGATACGAATTTGGATATAAAAAAATTTTATTATCTGAATTTTCAGATATCCGGTTTTGAATACCCCTAGATATGAGACCTATATAATATTTTGGGAATGATAGAGTCCATCCACATTTATACTAGTATATTACTCCATAATTTAGGGAAAATGACTTAAAATGGTAAGAAAGTTTAAAAAATGTACAAAAAAAAAAACCATTATATTTTTTTTCGGTGTAAAAACCCCATTTTACCGGGTATTGTAGATTAGCTGGTCATTTTTATTATTTTTAAACTGTAAAAGATATACGTGATTATTAGTGTTTGCCCCATCATTATTTCCCCTAAATTGAAACAATTAGGGATTGCTCCTTCTCCTCTATTCCTCCATTCCACAGAAATCACCACAAACAATGGATTCAACCTCGAATGTAGAGTACATGAAAATCAAAGTTAATCATATAGGTTCTTTTGTCCCCAAATCCATTGTCTATTTCAATCCCGTAAAGTGTTTTTTATCAATGTCGATTTTAGAAGCATGAATTTCGCGGAGTTCATCTCATATGTAAAGAAGCTGGTAAAGGATGGAAGAATCATTGTCCACTATTGTCTTCCACAACATTCACTGAGAGATTTGAGAGCCTTTGAAGATGAAAATGATTACGTATGTTTTCTTGATGCTGGATATGAGAATGGGGGAATGATTAATTTGTACATTGATCACTCTCATGAAGCAGTTATGGAGTGGATTGAAGAAGCGATAGTTGAAGATGGATTGTCAGACGATTATACGGATGATGATGATGATGATGATGATGATGATGATGTAGACTCTGAACTTTCAGATAATGAGTTTGTGGAGCATGAACCTGATGATGAAGTGATACAAATACAACCATCTGATGATCCTTTCGTTAGACGAAATTTTTTCAGGCCACCAAGAGTTGTAGATGATAAGAAAGATGTGAAGTCAGATCTTCCTAAGTATCATGTTCATGATCCTAACCATAAATGGATACATTGGCACCAATCTTAGGTATGCAATTTTGTGACCGTTTTGAACTTAAGAACATGTTAAGCAATTATGTTGTTGCTAATGGGTATAAAAAATGATTCAAGTTGATTATTAGTCAGATGTTGCAAAGGTGAAGAAAAGTCTAAATGCCCTTTTAGATTGTGGGCAATTTGGATGAGTAAAGAAAGATAATGTCATATTAAGTCACTGATCTGAACACAACTGTTGTAGGGCCTTCAGTTTAGGTGCAATGGTCACATATAATTGGATTGGAAAACACTTAATGGAAACCATAATAGATAATCCACGAATAAGTTACAGGAAAATGAAAGCAGTAGTCCTTAGAGATTTTAATCTACAAGTTAGTGTTAGTCAGTATAGAGATGCAAATTTTTTTGCAATTGATGAGATAGAAGGGAGTTTGGTGGGACATTATGAAGAGATTAGGAGTTATGGGTTGGAGCTATTGAGGGTTAATCCAGGTTCCACAGTGAAATTAGATGTTGATATCATGCCTGATTCTATAATCCATTTTTCAAAGATGTATATTTTCTTGACGGCTATGAAGGATGGTTGGATTGAGGGGTGTAGAAGGGTGATTGGTGTAGATGTGTGTTTTTTAAAGGGTCTTGTAGAGGTGAGGCACTGTCAGCTATTGGTAGGGATAATAATAACCAAATGTATCCTCTAGCATGGGCTGTTGTTCTAGTTGAAACAAAGGCAACTTGGAAATGGTTTTTGGATCTATTTTTTAAGACATTGAAATGGGACAAGGTAAAGGACTAACCATCATCTCTGAACTACACAAGGTAGTTAACTGCTTTTTAGATACTTTTTAATAATACCTTTTATATTTTTTTTAATTGATAATGACATTGAAATGTTAATTAGCAAGGATTGATTGAAGTAGTTAAGGAAAGAGTTCCTGAATTTGAGCATAAACAATGTGATAGACATGTTTATGCTAACTTCAAGAGAAAATTCATAGGAGCTGGGTACAGGAAACTGTTTTAGGGTGCTACCAAGGCCACAACCACAACAAAATTTAAAGGTATAATGAAGGAAATCAGGTTAATTGACATACATACTTATGAACACCTGATGGAAAAAAAACAAACACATGGTCTAGGGCATTTTTTAGGGAAGATAGTGGTAGTGATGCCATTGAAAATGGTATATGAGAATCCTTTAATGCAGCAATTGTGGGATCTACAAAAAAAAACCCATAATAGGAATGTTGGAAGATATTAGAGTGTATGTCATGGAAATGATGTTTACTCAAAAAAGGAAGGGACTAAAGTGGAACTTGGATACTTGTCCCTCAATTAGAATGAAGATTGAGGACATGAAGAAAGTATAGAGGTATATAACTATATTTAAATAAAATACATATATTTTATATATCATTACTAACTTGTATGTAACATTTCAGAACATGTATTGGGGAGTAACTCCAAGTGGTTTTCATCAATATGAGAGTAGGTGGTTGAATGAGGTGTATACAATTCACTTACATAAAAGAACATGTGGATGCAGATCAGAGAAGCTGATAGGTATACCATGTGTCCATTTAGGGTTTTGATTGAAACCCCTAGCAGCTCAATAAAAGGACCCCTAAAGCATCAGAATTTGTCCACTTGATCCCTTGGAAGCTTGGAGCCGAATTCTAGCCTCTCATCCTCTCTCCTAAACGTCATCCTCTTGCCTTGGTGTTTGTAAGCCATTAGAGGCATCGCATTTGAGGTGCTTGGTTCTCGTAAGCTTTGAAGCTTCAAGTTTCTTACTACAATCAAGAGGTAATATTCTTACTTGGTGATTTATATAGATCTCAAGTTTTGTAGTATGTTAGATTAGGGTTTACAAGCTTTAGATAAATTTGCATGTTCAATAGAGAAACCTAGATCCAAAGCTTTAGGGTTTTGCATGTGCACATAGGATGTTCTTTTGCTCAAAACCCATCAGTGGTATCAGAGCCTTACTTGGTTTCTATTGTATTTGATGCTTGGTATGTTTTTCCATTGCTTAAAATCGTTTTTCATGCAATCTGCTTGACAGACTCGTGAAGCCCAATGAGGTACTCGACGAGTAGGATGAACTCAGCGAGTCCAATATGGGGCTCGGGCGAGTCAGGCTGTCAGAAAGACGGATTTTCGGGATTTTTGCTTATTTTGATATAGGATAATTACCATTAATTGTTTCTAATTAATAAAATACAAATTTTATTGATTCCTTATGATTATCATTGTCGAAATAAAAGATTTTGTCATTTAATTAGATAATTATTGCCTTATTTGATAAATCTTAATTATTTGAATTATTTGATAATTATCTTGCATGAAATTGGATTAGGTCAAAATTAGATAATCACTAAATTAATTGTTTATTTGTATTATTTGAATTTTAATCTAGATAGTTTTGAAATGTTTTAAAACTTGTCCTCAAGTTTTGAATTTGAATATTTGGATTAAAAGTTTAATTTTGAAATATTTAAATTCTAAACCCTAGAATTTTACAAGTTTAAAATTCACCCTATACTATTATAATATTATAAGAATAATTATTATATATGTATAAGATAAATGCTAGTCTTACCGTTAGTAGGCCTCATTCATGAAGCCGATCTCTAAGGGGGTTATAAGGTTGTTGGTTATAAAATGGCAGCTTAATGGGTGTCCACTCTCACCCACCGCTTCCTTAAATGGTGGAGGGTCGTTAGCCGAACGGGTAGGATAGGGCAACCTAATTCCTCATTAAAAGTATAATGATTAATAAAGTAACAATTTTTTTTTATAATTCCCAATATTAGTTACTTTAGGAAAAATGTGAAAATGATGTTATTCCATGAAATTACACTTTGTACCCTTGCCAAGTCATTAGTGGAGCGTGTATGGTTAACCGGCACAATAATTTGGGTCTAGCAAAGGTGGCAAAGGGTGACTCGATGTTTGTCATAGATCAATGGAGTGTGTGTGGTTAACCGACACATTGATTAGGTGACCGTAACATTGAGGGAACCATGTACATTTGCATGGTTATTCACACCTTGTTTGTGATCCTCGGTATCCCAGTCACAAACATGAAGGGCATATCGAGATTTAAACATGCCATTGAAAAGTTCAATGAACCTCAAAGATCTAGGAGTTTTCAATACATTTAAAACTTAATATTTCTTTTGTTTTTCATGGTGGAAATTAGTGAATCGTCATTCACTTACCTTCAAATTGTTTGCAATTTAAATTACGACATCCCTCTTTTAAGTTGTAAATAATGTTGTTGGATCCTAGCCCTAATTTCTCATTTGAGTGTTTAATTGGGGATTCTTATCTAATCAATTTTGTCTCTTTTCCCTTTTCAGATGTGTAACACCGTGATTTTTCAAACTAAAAATTTCATTTAAACTCATATAAATTCTCATGTCACCTTCTATTAAAATCTCATTTGCTCTTTAAGTTACAAACATAACTCCATATTCAATTAAATAATACTCCAGGATCCTCAAAACATAACTCTTTCTCTGGTGTGTACAATCGAGCCGGTGCCGTCCTGTGATCCTGAGAAAAACCTGCAACACATATCACATAACACTGTAAGCACGAAGCTTAGTGAGTTCCCCAAAATACCACTCTAACACATATTAGCCACTCGAGGCTATAACTCTATGGGCCTTCTTGCCCTAACTCTGTGGACCCTCTGGTCCTAACTCTGTGGACCCTCGGGTCCTAACTCTGTAGACCTTCCGGTCCTAACTCTGTAAACTCAGAACATGCACAACATAAATCACATAGAAATATAGCAGTGCAACATATAACATACATAACATACAAGATACTCTGTCACATAACTCTGGTTACCTACTCAAGGTAAAGTATAGTGAGAAGACTCACCTCGGGTAACTCGGTAAAGCTCGAACTCTGTAAAATCTGGTCTAGCCCCCGCCTAATCATATGAAATATACACTCTAAATCAATACATCTCTCAAGGCTAGACTATTCCTCCTCTTAGTACTCTCAGAAGGGTAAAATACCATTTTACCCCTCCCATGGCTCAAAGGCCCTAAAGTTGACCAAACCCTAAAAGTCAACAAAAGTCAACCCTCCGGGTTACGCTGCGCGTACCAAACACGTACGCTGGGCGTACCCGGCGTCCTCACAGAAACGGGGTGCGCGACCCCTTACGCTGCGCGTACTGAGATTACGCCCCGCGTAACTCTCAGTTTCAGTCCCTTAGCTCTTGAGGTCTTAATCAGTTAAGACTCTCGTCCAACTTTTAGATCTGACCGTTTCTAAGCCTCTTAATCCATAAAGTCGATAACTTTAAGCCTTTGCATGGCTGAACAAGTCACTAACACCCAAAATATACCACTTCTAGCCCTAGAAAGCTCAAAACTCTAGCATGTCCTCATATCAACGACCAAGATAGAAACTTTATGGATCTAAAACATAAATATCACTGAAAGGGGACAGATCTTGGACCATGGAGCACCTTACACTCATAAAGTCTCCACCTTTGGGACTTTTAACCCTAGAAATGGCCCATGCAACAACAAACCAAAAGAAGAGGAAAGCTTTGAACTTTATACCTCTAAAAGCAGCTCCTTCCTCTGTAGATCTCAGATCCAAACTTGCACTTCAAGCTCTAGCCTCCACAAGCTCCTCTCCTTCTTCTTCACTAACACCCCAAGGCACTTTTAGCTCCAAAATCACACATACTCACTAAGGACGATGGGAAGTTCTCTCTTAGGGTTTTACTCACTGCTAGGGAGGCTGAGAAATGAGCCTTAGCATCCAATATATAGGGCACAAGTCTGAAATTAGGGTTTGCACCTGGACACATTACGCCCAGCGTAACCCTGGGTACGCCCAGCGTACTCAGGCGAGTCCGCGTCCAAAATAAGCGCATGAGTACGCGCAGCGTACTCTTGAGTACGCCCAGCGTACTCATTTGCTACCAATTCCTCTTAAGGGCTTAACTTGACACTTTGAATAAAAGAAGGGCTACATAGTTGTACCTGAATTTCGGGA